GGACAAACTAAGCATCTATGGGTCGGGGCCGACTCAGCCCCCCGGCGCTAACTCACGTACTTGGACTCAGGTCCAGGGGCTCACGTTCGCCGATTGGCTTTTAGGCATCCGGACGGCGCGATTCGCAGGGCCCAGGCCTGTTCGCGCCCTTGTCCTCTCCTTGGAGGCACCCTGGGGCGGACTGTTTGCCCATGGTGGCTCACACTATTGGGTTTACACCCCCTTCGAGGCAATATAACCTCTCCTTGCCCACGTTTGCCCATGCGTTCCTCTGGCTCTCGTTCAGTTCGATCAGTGCGACCAAGTCCAGATCTATCAGACCTTGACCTGATCTGACCGGACACCATCACCATGCTGCTGCGATTCTCCCTCACCGTCTGGGTGCTCGCCGCACTGGCGTCGCTCGTTGCCTCTCAGGCCTACCCCATCACCGGTGTTCAGGTCGCCGCCGGCAGCGCGGTTCCCTACAGGAAAAACATCAACATCCTGTACAAGAATGGAGGAGCTCCCTGGTACGTCCAATCTGCATTCATGCACCCCAATTTATCCTTCTGCCAAGACCTTCCAGAGAGACTGACAGCTGTTCCGAAATAGGGATCTCTACCTCCGATCTCTGCAAGACCTCTATGCTCAGGATGCCAACAACCGCCTATCATACTTTCAGATCGCCGGTAAGCCAAACCTTAATACAAGCTTAAGCTTAACGAACATTCCTTAAACTGACATAACAAAGGCATTCACGGCAGGCCTTACATCGAGTGGAACAATGCCGGCAGGAGGAACACCAATGGATGGCAGGGCTACTGCCCCCACGGTGTAGGTCTAAACATCAACAATTGCGCGCTAGAGTGAACATTCCTGGCTGACCAGTGTGTGCCTCTTATAGGAAGCCCTTTTCCTCCCGTGGCACCGCCCCTACGTGCTGGCCTTCGAGGTATGTATACCCCAGTCTGGCCTCACACTCTTGCACAAGCGTGCTCACTGACACGTCCCCTCCAGCAACGTCTAGTCGAGACCGCCATCAGGCTTGCCAACCAGTACCCCGCTGCCCACCGCGCGACCTACGTTAAGGCCGCCCAGACCCTGCGTGCTCCTTTCTGGGACTGGGGATACGATGCCCGCGTGCCTCCCGTCACCGTCCCCAACACGCTGCCCGTCCGCGTTCCCAACGGCTCCGGCTTGAGGACCATCCAGATCTCGAACCCGCTGCGCTACTACCGCTTTCCCCAGTCGGCAATCGACCAGAGGTTCGGCTCCTTCTCACGCGATGCCCAGGTCTTCAAGTGCCGCGCGCCCCAGAACTACCCCAACTCGGCCAACGCCGCCATGGCCCGCCGTTCTTACAGGTCGTGGACCTACGATGCCATGACGCGCTCGGCCAGCTTTGAGGAGTTTGCCTCGACCGGCAGCTCCGGCATCTCGCTCGAGCAGATCCACAACGCTGTCCACTGGGATGGTTCTTGTGGTTTCCAGTTCCTCGATGCCGACTACTCCGCCTTTGACCCCCTCTTCATGCTTCACCACGCCAATGTCGACCGTCTCTGGGCCTACCGCCAGTTCATGCGCCCCGACCAGGCCACCCTGACCCGCACCTACAGCGGCGGCGCCCGCTTCAGCACCCCCGGCGGCACCTCCATCGGCCCCAACAGCCCTCTGCAGCCCTTCTTCGCCGCGCCCGGCCGCTTCCACACGCCCAACTCGGTCCGTTCCATCCGCGGCTTCGGCTACACCTACGAGGGTCTCGAGTACTGGAAGAAGAACGACGGCCAGCTCCAGCGCGACGCCACCGCCTTCATCAACAAGTACTACGCCACCGGCGCCGCCCGCCCCCAGGTCCGCAAGCGCGAGAACGTGGAGGTCACGCGTTACTTCGCCCAGATCAAGGTCAATGTCGAGGAGCTCCAGAGGCCCTGCGCCATCGAGCTGTTCGCCAACGTCACGAGCGTTGGCAACTTTATCGTCATGAAGCAGCCCGCCCAGGGTTTGTTCTACGGCAAGTTCTCCCTCGACAAGGCTGCCGACCCCGTCGAGCTCGCCGACACCGAGACTAAGGTTGTCGTTACCGATCTCCTTGCCGCCCTCCGCGTCCAAATCACCAAGGTATGTTTTTTTCTTGCTTCTTGTGGCCTTCATCCGTAGTCCTCTCTCTCGCCTCAACCAGAAGGCTAACCCTGCATGTAGCACGACGGCACCGTCCAGGCCCTTGAGTCGGTGCCCAGCTTCAAGCTCGAGCTCGAGAACGTCGACGTCATCCCCCCCGAAACCGACACCGAGCTGCCCGAGTACACTGACGCCGAAAAGGTCACGGCTCCCAAGGAGGACCTGGCCGCGGCGCCCCCTTCGTAATGCCGATTCGCGCGAGTGAGGGAGGGAAAAATTGAACGTCAAAATCGGGATTGATTCCAGCGAGCATTTGGGAGCATTTTTTTTCTGCGCCACCCTGTCACCGGGTCCAGACTGGGGAGAACGTCTGCCCGACAAACCAATATTTCTTATCATGTCGTACATCACACAAGCACATACCATGTTCAGGAGTTTTACTGGGCACCGTTTGCGGAAACGGTTTTACTCGTAATATAGATATAATTTGCAAGAAACGCCATAACTTTACCCTCGAAAATTCTATTCTCCGGATGCTCCCCCCCAATCGCAGGTCGTGGACGTACCTATTCAACTGTAGAATCGCTGTCGATCTGACAAACACCCTCATCGTCGAAGAGCTGGCAGTGTCTACCCCAGGCAGGCTGATTCAACCTGTCCAGCACGTATGGCGCTGTCTCCGTACGTCGAACGCTAAATTGGCAGTCCGATACGATGAGCTTTGTCTCTTGTCTCAGGATAATGATTGGCATTGTGTTGAGCAGAAAAACAAAGACTCCAGGGGTTTACTCGGATCTACACGGATTCGTTGATTTGCTATCAACCTTTCCTGTCTTCTCAATTTCGTTGGTCTGCGGGACAAAGTCATTAGAAGGTTTACAAAGCGGGAAAGATGATTCGCACATCCTATTAGTGTTGATCTTTGAGGGATAAACAGCAGTTTCACGCATGCAAATGTCTTCTGTAACTGTTAGTCTTCCCAGCTCCGGAAACATACTGTGAGAATATTGAGTCGACTTCAAGATATATCTGGTCTATGACTGCCTATGCTGGATACAGATCTGGCATTCACTGCTTTGGATTATTATGCGTGACCATGATTCCTCAAACCCCTCATCTTCTACCTAACATGCGTTAGACCTGTGATCTACGACAGGCCAGGGGCTTGTACTTCCCTGAATGCAGTCCGTTCGAATTAACGACGTTGATTCAATACGTATTCTTTTGCATATCTCCTGTAAGGCACTCATGGCCATGTGAGGGCTGCCACTAAGTCGTTCTAGGGCCGGCAACATCACTATCCCAGTCTCAGTAACATGCGAATCCTTCACAGGTGGATGGTCCAACTGTTACAGTCATTGACACGCCAGTTGACACGGCCTTTGTTATGGGGGGATTGAAAACTAAAGGCCGTTGTAAATGGCAGCTGACGCCCAGCTCTACTTGATCTGTCAAGCACAGCCTAAGCAGTGCCATGTACAGAAGACGTGGTTGATACCAGAAGTACCACCACGATTCTGAGTTGTAATAATGCGATTGTTTGACCGTCGACGTCAGCATCAACTGTACAGCCTGAAAGGGTTTCACTGCCGAAAAGCTGCGAAGGGGTCAAGTAAGTGTCTTGAAAATGAATATTACACAATGGAATCCCTCGGAAGAGTATATCAACTTTCAAAGAGACCGAGGCCAACAGTGGAGGTACTTCATATGAATAGAAGGCATGTTCGATTTCAGGATTCAGAATTCCGGCGGCCTAGGCCTTCGACGCAAAGAAATCTCGCATGACGATGAAACAAGAAGAATGGAGATTGAAAGGGCACGACGCGTGGAAGTACCCATCATAGAACCTTTAGACGGCCTAGCCTTTAGCTCCTCGCTCAGGTGGTGGGGGCCTTTGCCCTTTGTACAGGCGCTTGTAATAGCCCAACGCTCTAACCTTATCCAATGTAGCTCGTGGTGTTATGAAGCTCTGTCATAGCGAGATCTTCTTTGGTGATTATGCATGAGCGTCAAGCTTAGACTCAGAGTCGCAACCTCCAGCGAGCCGCAAGGATACAATGGAGAGCTCGCATTTCAGATAAATAGGAAGTGCGTAGAGGGCATCGGATGTGGTAATGCTGAAATCATCTTTATTTTGGGAGATCATATCGGAACTGCCCCTCTGTAACACAGTTTTGGGAAATATGTGTCGGGTAATGCAACATGAACGAGGAGGGACCATGGTCTCAATGTCGATCCGTTGCTTGGCCCACACTCTCCAGGAGGACGATCAGATCGCAAAGGCATGAATTGGAAAACATGGTCAATAAATCTCACTGGCGTGTCAGCGACCATACAAATTTCGACGATGCATGTTGAATCTCTAGACAAGGCAGCCTCACCCCACAACAGACAACGTCGTAATCGCAAATTACAATGTGCAGGCGCCTATTGGCTTGCAACAACAATGATGATACCGAGTGTGATGAATTATGCAAGGGTACAGGGCTGGCTTGGCTGGCGAATGGAGCTCCTGATCCTCATTCAGACCCATCAGTGCCGATACTCGATTGCTCAAGTTTCCGCCGCCACTTGAGATGATCCCGACGTGGGGTAAGCCTTGGCCACATCCGCGTGGTTCATCTGTCGCTCGGTAACCTCTAGAATTGCAAGTAAATCAGTTAAACCTTGCCGCGCCTCCTCAAGACGTAGGATCTAAGGCTTACGCAAGTCATGAATGCGCTAGAGTTGCACAGCAGTGGAAGAGGGTGATGAAAATGGGATACTACGAGTCAAGAAACTGGACAGCTTACGTATGCTGTATCTACATCCTGTTCAGGAAAGCCCGACTCAAAACTCCGGGAGCACGGACTGATGGGGAAAGGCTCGATCGGATGACAGCCCAACAACCGCCCACATACCGAAAGCTTGTGGCGGGGCTGATCCGAGAACCTGGAGGTCGAAACATGCCAACGGCATTTGCAAGCATCTGAACCCTTCGATGGGACAACGACAACGCGGCTTCTAGCCCCTCGGCAGAGCTGCGCCTTGCATGAGGCTTAACTTATGCCCGGAGAGGGCGACGCGTCCTGAGTTGGTTGCGTAGCAAAGCAATGTGGATTGACGTCAAAGGACGGGAGGGGAGGGCTGTCAAGTCGTCGAAGGTTCAGTATATAGCAGACTAAGTTTTCAGCTCTCGATCGCCAAAGCTTCTTTTCAGCACCACGGCTCTCAGTCTCCTTCTCTCTCATACACCATATCGCCTTATTCAACGTCTTCTTTTCTTGTTCGTTCTTGAGATTTCACCATCGCAACCATACGTTTTCGCCAACATGCGTCTGACCTCTGTCGCTTCGGGCCTTGCCCTACTCTCCATTCAGGCAGCTGCCCATCCTGGCCACGATCTTTCTGAGGAGATTGCCGAGCGCCGCGCCTTTCTCGGAAACATTGAGCGAGCTTCCCTCGCTCACTGCGCCACCAAGCTTCGTGCTCGCGGTGTTGAGCAGCGCAACATTGAACGTCGCGCTGCCCTTCTTAAGAATGCCCGTGAGAAGCGTAAGTTAACCGTACCAGGACCGCTTCGCGCTTCAAACATCTGACATGAAACAGTCGCTCTGAAAAAGAAGCGCGACGTCGATACCGTCTTAGCTACCAGTCACAACAAGACCGAGCTCGGCTACACCATCAACACGGATGCTGATACTCTGTTCAGCGGCCAGAACTCCTGCGTTCTCACTCCTGAGGTGACCCAGGGTCCTTACTGTGAGTGACGATCGAAGCAGCGTTCGGCTCGGTCATGATTAACATTCCACAGACGTTGGCGGTGAGTATGTTCGTCGCAACATTATTGAAGAGCAGGAGGGAGTCAACATCGTCCTCGATTACCAGGTCATTGACGTCGACACCTGCGAGCCCGTCCCCAATGTGTACCTCGAAATGTGGCACTGCAACTCCACCGGCGTCTACTCCGGCGTGATTGCCAACGGCAACGGCGACTCGTCTGACGAGAGCAACATCGACAACACCTGGCTTCGCGGCATCCAGGAGACCGACAGCGACGGCGTCGCCCAGTTCGAGTCTCTGTTCCCCGGCCACTACACCGGTCGCGCCGCCCATATTCACTTGATGGCGCACACCAACGCCACTCTCCTCGCCAACCAGACTCTCGGCAACGACGTCTACGCCAGCCACGTCGGCCAGGCCTTCTTCGACCAGGACCTCATCAACGCAGTCGACAAGATCTCTCCCTACTCCGAGAACACCCAAGACATGACCTTGAACACCGAAGACAGCATTCTCTCCGAAGAGGCCCACACCGAGGGCGTTGACCCTCTGATGGAGTACACGCTGCTCGGCGACTCGGTCGAGGATGGCCTCTTCGCCTGGCTCGCCTTTGGCATCAACACCACCGAGTCGTCCAAGGTCACGCCAGCCGTCTTCCTCTACGAGCAGGGTGGTGTCGCCAACTCGGCTTCTGGCGGCGGCGGCGGCTCCGGCGGTCCCCCCAACGGCAACCCCCCCGACGACCTGACCTCCGGCGTAGCCTCCGATCCCTCCGCCACCGCTACCAGCACCAGCTCCACCACGGCCCTGGCCAGCGAGACCCCCAGCGGCGCCTCGTCCACCCGCCGTGCCAAGTGTAAGCGCAGCCGTCCCACCTCTCGTGCTTGAAGCGCGCGTCGCATTGTTTTAATGCATTGCCGTTTTCCCTCTCCTCTTTTGCGTCACTTCAGTTTACCTATTAACCACTGGGACTTCCAGATGGCGTGGCGCTGCTCGGGCAGCTGTTCGCCGTATGCATCGCGGTCGTCTTTGCTAGGATTGCATTGGCGTAGCGTGGTTCCACCGGGCGGCTGGACTCTGCGGGGCCGCGGGACAGCCTTGCTTATTTGTCTGTGAGAGTTTGAACGTTGGGGCCCTCTGGGCTTGTTCTCGGAGGCAGCGAGGGTATATACAACAAGAGGAAATTGACCTCCCAGGATGGGTTCCGTGGGCTGGATGATAGCGTGCTGCGTGGTGTGAGACGTGTTGATGCAAGAAGTACTGATAGTAGGATGCTGGAGTTGGTCGAGATCAAAGCTACTGCGTGGGGAAGCCGTGTAGGTTTGCGAGACATGCAAAACTGCAAGTTTGACTGATTCGCAGGTACCATGGAATTCGGACATCATACGGTGCACGTCTGTTGATGATGATGGAGTCGATGAGGCGATGGAGGACGTAGCTTACTCGAGAGATGTATTGCTTCAGAGTCAAGCTGTAACTTGTCTTAACATGCAAAAAAGCTTCGAGGATTTCTCAACTTGCAATAGGATCTGGGTCTGGATTTGTAGGTCAGTATGTACCGAACTCCATGTGCGCGTAGAACCAAGAGTCTTGTAGCAGTCATGATTGGCCTCTATGAAGGCGATCCGAGCTATTGTGATCCCGATTGTGGCAATCGATAGTCTGGTTGGTCCTGTTCCAGGAAACGGCCTTGCTGACGAGCTGCACTTTAATAGTTCCACAAGGAAAATGTTCCAAGTAAGAGCAGAGAAATGGTCGCCAAGTAGTTTGCAAGTCAAGGACTGTGACTTACGGTAAACCAGGACCGAGGCCTTGCCTCCTTCTAAATCACATGGCTGCTCGCATATGCATGAGGGCTGCTAGCCTCAATAAGGTTCAGGTATGAATCGAGGTCAAAAAACAACCTTAACAAGCTCGCCCATGCGCAGCCGAATCCTTCTCACCTGCCATTGTAAGTTCTACCTATTAGCGGCGTGCTTTCCCCGTAAATTATGACACCTTGTATTGAATCCATCTCAAGATCTCGTCGCTCAAGGTGCCTCCAAGAGCTCGGATTACGTGACTTTTTGGGTCTAGAGGCGGACCTCAGCGAGTTGCTCTTCAAATCCCCGACTGTAAGATCCGTTGTGCAAGGCTGGCCAATCAAATATCAAAAGACTGTGTTCATGAGATCATTCTTATCTCAAGCTTTAAAGAACCCACATTGCTTGTGCTCTTGCGAGGGTGGTGCCCAGATGTTCCTCCATCGTAAAGTCTTACCATTGGCAGTCTTGAACCCGAGGATGCAGATCGAGTGGCTCACCGCACCTGGTTCATGGCCCGGGACGTGGCGCTGGTCGTTGCCACGTGCAATTTGGGGACATCTATAATTCGAGCTTCCAGCCTATCCAGCATCTGATGGTAAGGAGCCGAGCAAATCGGCACGCTGAAATCTGAGGCTGAAGCTGGCGGGTCCATCAGATCTACTTTACGTCAAACAAAAGTATGAGACACGACGCACGGCGCGCCTCTCTACCCTCCATGTCAATTCGTCTCAACAATCAACATTGGGATTGTAGACTGATCTCGTTCGTCTCAGGGATTATGGCCTGGCATCCGAAATTGCTCATCGTGTCGGACCTTGATGGCTCTTCCAGAGTCGGGCGGCAGGGATGCTCGCCACGAACCACGGCCACAACCGGCCAGGTAAGCGTGTTCAGGGGTCGCCCGGCCGAAAAGCCGCCCTGCAGGTAGGATGCTGATCCCCGCGATAAGCTGAAGCGAAAGGCAGCTGGACAGCTATCGATGCTCGGCATTGCGACACGAGAGCGAGGCGGCGGGCCAACGTGATCAGCAGTGAGACAGGACACCACCCTTGCCCCCAAATAAGTATGAACCAACAGCAACAGAGAACGTGCTGGATCATCGCTCGATCTGCTTCAGATCAGGAATCTGGGGACCGCCAAGAAAAGACATGAGTGGAGTGAAAGACAAGGAAGGAGGCGGTCGGAGCCAAAGGCAGACAGGACGGGGAGGCGGAGTCAGAGAGGGAGAGGCCGAGGGAGGCTGAGGCTTGGAGGAGGAAACTGACAGATCACGACATTCGAGTCACGCGGAGAGAGGCAGGGAGGGGGAGGGGGAGGGGAAGGGTTTGGAGGCCGCAAGTTGAGCAAGTTGGGGCCCATGCTCCTTCGTGCATGCATGCATTCATGCTCCACGGCCGGCGCAACATGCGGGGTTTGCAAAGTGAATGCTCGAACCGCAGCTGTTCTCGACTTGATAGAGGGGGGCTCACATGCTCTCTTCGTCTCACCACTCTGACCAGACCAGTGCAGTGTGTTTGGTCGTTTGGCTTCGCCGACGCCCGCAAGACCAACCCCAAGATTCATCGGCAAGGGGAAACATTTGATGGTGAGACGATTGATTGCGTGAGAGAGAGGGTGTGAGGGAGAGGGTGTGAGTGAGCGATGCATCTCTCTCTCAACTCATGCCGCGGGGCGGCTGGCATCCTGGGCCATGTATACTCTGTCGTACAAGATGGCGCCTGCTGTCTCACCGGCCCACCAGCGTCCAGACCAAGCTGACGAGAAAGAAACGAGTGATGGACGCCATGGCAGATGAAATGTCGGTAATCGGGGATGGCCGGCAGTCATCTGAAGGGGGCAGCGGGTGACACAAGACCACGACGCGACCGTGTCAAGGTCGATGTGCAGGGAGACGATGGTGAGGCTCGTGACGGACGACGCCGCGGGCAGGGCACCTGTTACCTAAATGGCTTGGCATCCTGCCCATTTTGTGCCACCCGCGAAAACAGTCCGATGGTGTTTTGGGTCGCCGTTTGTTGTTGTGCTGTAGGATGTACCTAGCGCCGTAACGGAATGGGGGTCGTAGGGGAATGGCAGCCGACAGTAGTGGAAGAGCAGCGGCGCAGTGGTGCACAGAGACCCTGACGTCATTTTACAGGGCTCACCGACACCTGACTTTGGCGGCACGAGCTGGGCTGGATTGGCAGCTGCAGGGTTGCGTGGCTCAGAAGCACGTGCAGCAGGACGATCAGATTGCGGCATGCCTTCGTACTGGTAGGCTCAGTTTGGTGAGGGAGATCAGTACCTGAGCAATGGCACAGCGAGGGAGAGAGAGCTGCGCGCAGCAGTACCTAACAAAGCAAGCAAAAAGGAACAACAAAGTCGTCCTCGAACGTCCCGGGCGGCTGGGCTGGGCTAGCCTTTGGGTGCACGCGGCCATGCCACATGCCACTGTCTCACCGCCCGAAGGTCATGGTGCGCCCTCTAGGATCTGGGAGCGTCCCCGCCTCTCCTTCTGTCACCCCAAGGTGCAAACACCGTCCCAGATGTCCCCACGGCAAGTCGTACCAAACTGAAGGGTGCCGGCGTTTGGAGTGAGTTTGTTTAGTGGTGCGATAGGCAGGAGGAGCCAGTGAATAAGCATGAGGATGAGCAAGAGCAACCCCAAATTGGGGGGCCCCTTGGATGTCAAGGATGTGCATGCGCCTCGATGACTCCACCTTCTCCACCGTCGCCCCCTCCTACCTGCCCGCCAACCCTTGTTCGCCTGGACGCCTTCCCCTCTCACCTGCCAGCCCTCCGTCTTTGCCTGCCTGCTCCTCGGCCCCCTACCCTGCTCTTGCCTGCAAATGGAGGGCGAGCACTGAAAGAGCAACCTGGACAAGGTGCCTGCCCCCGCCTGTTCTGGTGCTCCCCCCTCCTTCTTCTGGTGCTACCTGGCCACCTAGGCCAAGGGTCCTTCCTCGTCTTGGCACGATCTGGCGCCACATGCGCTAGACTCGTAGTCTTGGCTGACTCGAGCTTATTTTGGCTTTGTACTCTATCTTGTCCCAAGTTCCCAACCGCTGGCTTCCCTTCTTTTATCTCTTCCACCGCCCGCTCGTCCCGGTCGTTGTTGGCACGTCGGCCCTCCGTCGTCTTGCATCCTACCGTCTACAGTTCACCTCCCGACCCGTCACCCGTCACAGCAAACTCGCATCGCCGAGCGCCCTCTGCCCAAGGCCGCCGCGGCCACCACCACCCGTCATGTCGGACGACGGCAACAGAGCGCCTCCCCAGGGCGGCGTCATCGAGGGCGCCAATCCCTCCGAGTACAACCCCAATGATCCCATTGTCATCTTCATCATCCAGGTAGGCGCCCATTCGCGACTTCTCAATGCAAAACTCCGGACCAAGACTGACGTGTGCGTGCCCACCCCAGGCCGGCATGATCCTCATCGTCTGCCACGCCCTCCACTGGCCCCTCGCCAAAATCCGCCAGCCTCGCGTCATTGCAGAAGTTATAGGCGGCATCGTCTTGGGCCCTTCCGTCATGGGTCGTATACCAGGCTTCCGCGATGCCATCTTTCCCTCCGAATCCATTCCGAACCTCACATTGGTCGCCAACGTTGGTCTCGTCCTGTATCTCTTCATCATCGGCATGGAGACGGACGTCGGTTTCCTGCTGAGCAACTGGCGCATCGCCACCTCCGTCTCTGTCGCTGGTCTCGCCTTTCCCTTCGGCATGGGATGTGCCTTGGCTTGGGGCATCTACAACCAGTTCTCGGACGATCCCGGTATCCTGCACATTGACTTCCCTATTTACATGCTGTTCGTTGGTGTTGCCATTGCCATCACGGTGCGTTCTTGCGCCCCGCTCCCGCCCCGCCTTCTGCGCCCCGAATCCGCAGTGCTGATGATAATATCATAGGCTTTCCCTGTACTCTGCCGTATCTTGACCGAGCTCAAGCTTCTCGACACCTCGGTTGGTGTCATTACGCTTGCGGCTGGTGTCGCAAACGATGTCGTTGGTGAGTGACAGGTTGCGGCGAATCAACGGTGGGGAAGAGGAACCACACTGACTTTTGTCTCACTTCACTTAGGCTGGATCCTGCTCGCCCTCTGCGTCGCCCTCGCCAACGCCGGTAGTGGACTCACGGCAGTATGGATTCTGTTGTCTTGCGCCGGCTTCATGCTCTTCCTCATGTACGCTGTCAAGCCAGCCCTCTTGTGGCTCCTGCGCAAGACCGGTAATATTGAGGATGGACCCTCTCAGAGCATGATCTCCCTGATTCTGCTCATTGCTCTCGCCTCGGCATTCTTCACGGCTATCATCGGCGTACACGCCATTTTCGGCGGTTTCATGGTCGGCCTGATCTTGCCCCGTGAGAACAGCTTCAACATCAAGGTCACCGAAAAGCTCGAGGATCTGATTGGCGCCCTCTTCCTGCCGCTCTACTTCACCCTGTCTGGTCTCAAGACGGACATTGGTCTCCTCGACAGCGGCATCGCCTGGGGCTACGTCGCCGCCGTCACTTTGACGGCCTTCTTCGCCAAGGTCATGAGTGCTACCGTCGCTGCCCGCCTCAACGGCCTCGTGTGGCGCGAGTCGTTCACGATTGGTACCCTCATGAGCTGCAAGGGCCTGGTCGAGCTCATCGTCTTGGTAAGCACTGCACCCCCATCGACTGCACGTTAGTTTGCTAATACGGTGTAGAACATTGGTCTGCAGGCTAGGATTCTCAGCACCAGGACGTTCACCATTTTCGTCGTCATGGCCCTGCTCACGACCTTTGCGACGACGCCCATCGTCTCCTTCCTCTACCCACCTTCGTATCAGAAGAAGCTTGCCGCGTGGAAGCGTGGCGAGATTGACTGGGATACGGGCGCGCCTCTGGGTTCGGCTGCATCAGGCTCGGACAGTGCCACGGTCAAGCCTGCGACGACTCGTGTCCGTCGCGTGCTCGTCTACCTTCGCCTGGACAACATGCCTTCCATGCTCAACCTCGTGTCTCTCTTTGGCAAGCCCGCACTCCTTGGCCAGCAGACGGCAGCTGACGAAAAGACGGTGGCCTCGTCCGAGGCACATGCCATTCAGCCGGCTGTCAAGGCCCACGGTCTACGTCTCATGGCTCTGACGGATCGTGACTCCTCTGTCATGACTGTCTCGCAGGTCTATGAGTACAGCCGTAATGACTCTGTCGTCAACATTTTCCGCACTGTCGGCCAATTCCTCAAGATTGCCGTCTCCGGTGAGGTGGCCGTCATGCCCGAGACTCGATTTACCGAGGCTCTGCTCGCCAAGTCGTCCGACATTTCGTCCGACCTTCTCCTGGTACCCTGGAGCGAGACGGGCAGCTTGACCGACTCGCAATTTGCCACGTCGGAGAGCAAGCTGACATCAACTACGTACATCAACTTTGTCAAGTCGATATTCGCGTCGACGCAACACAATATTGCCATTTTCTTCCCTCAAGGAAACAGCACGCAGCCTACAGCCGAGCCAAAGCAGGAACGCTCCAAGCTTATGCGAGCCTACTCATTCAGCGACCTTCACGATGACATACCCGCCATTCCCGTCACCAATCGATCTCACCACATCTTCTTCCCCTACCTTGGAGGCCACGATGACGACTTTGCCCTGATGCTAGTTCTCCAACTCTGCGAGAAGCAGGACGCCACCGCCACTATCATTCACGTCTCTGCCGACTCGGCTCATGCCAGCGACGACGATGTGCCGTCGTTCATCTCGACCAATGCGGACAGGTCGGTCGCAGCACGCATCAAGTACGAGGCGGTCACGGCAGCGAACCCTGCCGAAGTGGTGCTCAGCCGCGCGAAGGAGGAGATTCGTGTCGATACCAGGGAAGTGACCTGGCAGAACCTGGTTGTCCTCGGCCGCCGCGCCGAGAAGTACGTCGGCGACGAGGTCAAGGACTGCCTCGGCGCTGCCGCGGCCAACTTGATCGCCAAGAATATCAAGGCTGATCTTTTGGTTGTCCAGGCCAAGGCCTCGGGAGTTTGAGCGCTATTTATGTCACGCAGAGGGTGACGCGCTGGGAGTTCAAGGGTCAAGACCCTGCTTGGTATCTTGTACGGGATAGCGAATTTGTTTGGTTTCTTGTCATTTACGTTGGATGACACAGACTGGGGACATTGGTGTCTTTGTGGGCATTGCATTATTGGTAGATGTGAAGGGCTACCTTGGATACACGCTGGAGTTAGCGCCCGAACTGGGTTGATGACCAATTCATCCTATTATACAAGCCGTTGCAGCCTGCTGCATGGTGACATTGCTGTGCAGCAATGTCAGTGGTAATACACGAGATATGATTTCTGCCACATTATTCTAGCCTGCCTGGCTTACACGGCCAGATTTCTCTCTTGCTCACAGACGGCTACTTGCTGTGGCGACTGGCCACCATCCTGTTCGGGACTTCGGATATTCACTTCCTCTCCGTTCTATACAAGTTGGTGCCACCGATGAAGTATTGCACGGCCGGTATCCGCTATGGACTGCCTGCGCGCAAGCACGCCACATGCCCTCTCGCCTCCCCGCCTTCTATGTATTGTGAGCAATATCCAGCCGCTTACCGCGCTGGATCTCGGCCCGATCATAGAGGCTTTTCGGGTCTCCTGAGTTAATTACCGGACGAGAGAAGCCGTCGTTTGGCCTTGATGCTTGGTAGGACCTATCGGAGTCACGCCGAACAGATTGGGCAGGTAAAGGTAAGCTAAGTGATTTGGCTGACCTTGCTCGAACCGCCGCCGACCGGGTGGCCCAGCTAGATGATATGATGGAGGGTGTTTGCCCCAGACAAGGGTTGTTTAGCCTGGGGCCTAGCCGCTTGATCAAGGAAGTTGCCCCAGATTTCGGGAGAGTACCGTGGTTGACAGAACCAGCCGTGTCAGCTGTGGTTGCATCCGTGTCTGAAAAGAGCAACTCCCGGATCGACATGTACCGCTGCCCTGGATCGCACGACCAGGAGAACTCAAAGAACAAGCTTCTCCGGGTGCGCAGATCATAAATAAAGAGCATGACACGAGCATTCGAACCATGGTGCAGCAGAAAGAAGGTCTTCTCACCCAGTACCACTGCCCTTTCTCCTCCTCTCATCCTTCACCATGAAGCTTCTCACGCTCCTTGCCCTCGCGGCCACGGCCACGAGCCACGCCATCTTCCAAAAGGTCTCCGTCAACGGTGTGGACCAGGGCCAGCTCAAGGGCGTGCGCGCCCCCTCGAGCAACAACCCGGTCCAGAACGTCAACGACGCCGACTTTGCCTGCAACAAGAACATCCAGCACAAGGACAACAACATCCTCACCGTGCCCGCCGGCGCCCGCGTCGGCGCCTGGTGGGGCCACGTCATCGGCGGACCCCAGGGCTCCAACGATCCCGACCACCCCATCGCCGCCTCCCACAAGGGCCCCATCATGGTCTACCTCGCCAAGGTCGCCAACGCGGCCTCGGCCTCGTCGACGGGCCTGCAGTGGTTCAAGGTCGCCGAGAACGGTCTCAGCGGCGGCAAGTGGGCTGTCGACACGATGATCTCCAACGCTGGCTGGTACTACTTTGACCTGCCGACCTGTGTGGCGCCGGGTGACTACCTGATGCGCGTTGAGCTGCTGGCTCTGCACGGCGCGAGCGTTCGTGGCGAGGCCCAGTTCTACTTTGAGTGTGCACAGTATGTGTCCCTAGACTTCTCTTGCCTCTCCATTGTTTCACCGTCACGTCTTCTGCCCGTCACGTCTGCCCGCCAACCTCACCGTATGTCTGTCACAGCATCAGCTAACAAGCCCAGGATCCGCGTCACCGGCTCCAGCACCAACACGGGCTCCAACTTTGTCTCCTTCCCCGGCGCCTACTCGGCCACCGACCCGGGCGTCCTCATCTCCATCTACGGCAACACTGGCCAGCCCGACAACGGCGGCCGCACCTACGCCATCCCGGGCCCCAGGCCCATCACCTGCTCCGGCAGCCCCGCCGCCCAGCAGCCCGCCCCCCTCGACACCTCCCCCCTCGACGCCTCCCCCTTCGACCCCGCCTCCCAGCTCGCCTCCCAGCTCGCCTCCTCCTTCGTCCGGCGGCGGCGGCTCGGCCCAGCTCTGGGGACAGTGCGGCGGTAACGGCTGGACGGGACCTACGACTTGCGCGTCTGGCACGTGCAAGGTTTCGAGCGAGTACTACAGCCAGTGTCTGCCCTGAGAGCAGTTGCGAGACTTTGAGCGAGTACTCCAGCCTGTTCTTGTCATGAGGGGCGGGTGAGGCGCTCGGGGCATAACGAAGGACCCGGCGAGTGAAGACGAGCAATGCCTGTTCTAGTGTACATATCTTAAAGGGACGTATATAGCCGAGGACCCAGTCCCTCCTTGCAAATCCACACATACACTGTACCGATGAGGGGTCCCCCTCTGGATCCTGTTGGCTCACGCTCAGATGTCAGTCCTCTTTGGCATGTACACAGCAATTCTCTTCGGCTCGGTTTGACCCCTGACCCTTGCAAGGCGTTGTCGCGGAAGTTTGGTACCCAATCACGGACGCGGCTTAGATGACCTCGATATTGATCTGAGGGGGCAGCGATTGCCGACGGAGGGTTGGTCCCGGTCTCGTTGGGGATGTGACGCGGAGGAACTCTATTTGGCAGCACAGCATTTTTTATCCCCGATCGTGGAGCGAACGCTGTTATTCATTACTCTGGGGTGTATATACTATATCATGAAACTATAGGAAGCTGACGCCATTGCTGGGGGTCTTCATCGGAAGGCTCCCTTGCTGATTTCCTCGCTGACCTCCTTTAGTTGATGAGCGGCCCATTCGAAGTCCTCCACGTCGAGGTAGACCTGCGCGCTGAGGCGCGCATACCATCTGCCCGTATGTACAGAAATGGGGATGAACGTCTTCTTCTGGTCGACGAGCCACTTCTGCGCCCACGCGAGTGCCTGCGCCGTTTCAGCCGCTGACACGACGGCGCCGTCCCCCTCGCCGTCGGCCGCCCTCAGGGGCAGCCAGACATTGACGAGGCCGCAGTTTGTCAGCGTGCCAGCTTCATTCTCGATGATATCCGTCCCGAGAATCTCGGCTGCGCGTCTGCCGCCCTCCTTGGCCAGCTGCCAGAGGTACGCGACGATGCGCTCCTCCCCACCGAGGACCTTGTCCCGCCACGCGAGCGCATCCTTGATCATGAGAAACGACGTGTTGTCGACGGTGCCGACGAACTGGAAGTTCTCCTCAAACGCCGACTTGCCCGGCCCGCGCGGCGGCAGCGGGTTCATCCTCGCCCGCGGCCGCGGCGACACGTACCCGTGGCTCGTCGGCAGCGTCGACGGCAGCAGGTGCTGGTTGCGGCGCGGCACGTGGAGAAAGGCGCAGCCGCGCGGCACGTGCAGCCACTTGTGGCAGTTGGAGAGGACAAAGTCGGCGTCGAGGGCGGCGAGGTCGAGGGCCACCATGCCGACGCCCTGGGCGCCGTCGACGAGGCTCAGGACGCCGAGGTCGCGGCACGCGCGCGTCACGGCCTCGTAGGGGAACCGCACGCCCGGCAGCGACGAGACCGTGTCGAAGAGGGCGACGCGCGGCGTGCGCCCGGCGGCGCGCGAAGCGGCCACCGTCGCGCGGAACCGCTGCTCGATGGCGCCGTCCGTGTCGGCTGGGTAGCGCAGCTCGATGACGCGCTGCGACACGAGCGGCTTCGTGTCGGTGATGTAGTCGATCGTCTTGCCGCAGCCGCCGTAGACGGTCGAGAAGGAGATGATCTCGTCGCGGCCCGACGGGTTCCAGACGAGGTTGTGCAGCACCACGTTGACGGCTGTCGTGGCGTTGGCCACGAGCACGATCGTCTCGACCGGCGCGTTGAGGAGGGCGGCGAGGGCGGCGCGCGCGGCGTCGAGGTGCGCTGGGTACTCGTACCGCGTGTAGAGGTCCGGCACGGCCTCGGCGCGGAGCTGCAGCGCAAACTGCTTCTCCTTGATGACGCGCGGTGTCGAGCCGAAGGAGCCTGGGCGTTCGTTAGAGAGCCTCTTGGCCGGGCGAGAGGCCAGGCGACGTACCATTGTTCATGTTTCTCCATTCAGGATCGAAGCAGAATTCGTCCCGGAGGCCTTTGCCGAAGTCTCGGGGGCCGTCGAGTGTCATTTTGCTGAGAGATGAGGTTGGGACGCCCTCTCCCTGCGACTGTGCGCCAAGAGGCGCAGGGTTCGCCGTGGACGACTCGTTGATGACCATTTTGGAGTCGCGTTCATGCAAATGAAGATCTAGGTCTTCTCACGGAGATGAATCCGAATGGATTGGAAGCCATCGACCTCGTCTGAGGCCCAGATGAACTGGCATTGTATTTAAGCATTTGTCCGCGCCGGCCCAAGCCAGCCGACGTCGGACCAAAAGTGACTGGAGATACGGTGACTCGAACTGTGCTCTGTGACTCCAGCATGAATGAGGGGCAGACGTGTCTTCAAAGGGCGCGCCGAGGCGACCGACGGCACGAGGCTTGATCCGATGGTACCCGCCCATGATGGTTCCGCTCTATCTACTTATTGCTGGAGATGAGGTTATGCCAGATGACCAAGACATGCTCATGAGAAAGTCGCAACTTCTTTTGACCGGTTATTGAGTCTGGATGCGTGTTCTGGTTTGGACGTTGTGATGGCAGGCCGTCAATCCATGTCGACCGTCACTGACTCCTAGCCTTGGCACTGTTGGCCTCAGGAACTGATGACTCCTACTAGCTTACTAGCAGGTGGAAAATCACCAAAGTGAAGCAATGAACCGGAGCTCAAATTCATAAGCCTGCAACCACTGCAGATCGACTGAACTTGAGCCCCAGATCATGAAGACCCAGCTTCTCTGACGACTACTATGAGCCGAAGAGTCCAGACCTCCATGGAACCTCAAAGGTGGTGTACAACATTGCGTCTGAGCAATCCACAGCCAGTGAAGCCATGGTGGTGCTTATCCTCCCACATGGCCATCTGAAATGCCAATGGAGGCTCCCACCATCAAAATAAGCAGGCATGAGCCTCAGTCCAGGAATCAGACATCTATCCGCCGCCGCTGACATGAATGACATGAAGACCAGGAGCTGAGCAACCCTTCCACACTGTGGCTGGCCTTCACAGCAAACCACAAAACACCGTCCTGCACATGAGAGCGACCGTGGGATGCCGCTAACCGAGGAGGTGACCCAAGTGCCACCGGCTTACAGCTTTTTTTTGCACATCATGCTCCAATGCTTCGCTGTCTTCTTTGGATTCATTGAAGGATCGCCACGGAGCTCTCCTCGCGCTGACAAACAATGGCTTGCCCAGCACATTTGTCAGGGTTCAGGCGCCTGAGCGTCTACTGGAGTCTTCGGGTATATATCTGATCTATTAGCATTCCATTCTGCCACTTCTTGATCGACGCTAAATAGACACTTCTCAGTGCCACCTCCTCCTCGACTATCCTCATCCCAGTTAGCTTGACGTCACAATGGCCCTCCCAGCAACACACCCTGCCGTCGCCGTTCAGGCCCCCCGCCAGCCGCTGACCCTGCTCGACGTCCCGACCCGCGAGCCTCAAGCGGGTGAAGTCGTCGTCAAGGTCGATTGGGCTTCCATCGCGCCTTACCATATTCATCAGGCTGACGGCGGTCTCGTTATAGACAGCTATCCGTACATCCTCGGTGACACCTTTGCCGGCACCGTCGCCGCCGTCGGCCCCGGCCCGCACACGGGGCCTGAATTCAGCCTGGGTGACCCAGTCGTCGGCTACTCGTTCCGCAACGTCGACGGCGGCAAAGAAGCCGCTCTGCAGACCTACGTGACGGTGCCGTCGTTCCTCGTCGGCCGTGTGCCGAAGAATCTCAAGCCCGAGGAGGCTGTCACGGCGCAGGACCACGTCATCACCGTCATCCACACTGTCGTACAAGACCTCGGACTGCCGCTGCCGTGGCCCCGTCCCGCCGACTGGACGCCCCCCGAGGCCGACAAGCCCATCCTGCTCTGGGGCGGCGCGGGAAGCGTGGGCATGTACGCCATTGAGATTCTGCGCCACTGGGGCTACACGAATCTCATCGCCGTCGCGAGCAGGAAGAACCACGCGTACCTGCGGGAGCTTGGCGCCAAGACGTCTTTTGACTACCGCGACGACGACGTCGTCGAGCAGATTCGCGCCCATCTCGGAGGGCAGCCGGTGCCGTATGCCATTGACTGCATCGGACACTTGACGGGGACGCTGCAGCCGATCACCAAGCTTGCTGGCCGGGGGTCCAAGGTCGCCGTCATGCTGCCTGTCATTATCAAGGATGCGAGCGAGACGGAGGCGCCGGAGTATCAGATGACCAGCCCGGCGGAGCTTTCTGTCGGGAAGTGGGAGGAGGGTGTTGAGGTCTCGGGCGTGAGGACGCATTTCTACCTCGAGGTGAGTGGGCTTAGATTTACTTGTGGTGGTGCGATAACTTGCTGACGTTGACACAGAACGAGGAATTCAAGGAGAAGATGCAATCGGAGATTGTGCCAACACTCTTGGAACAAGGCGCCGTACGGCCGAACCCGCACCGCGTGGTGGAGGGAAAGGACCTCCTTGAACGGGTTGAGAACGGGCTCAAGTTGTTGAGGAACAAGGAGGTCAGCGGGGAGAAGTTGGTTCTCAGGGTTTCAGAGTGATGCTAGTGCTTCGTATGAAGAGGTGTTGTTGGTGTGAAGCGATAATTCTTGGCTGATGCCATTATCGTCTCCATCGGCCAGCATGATACGTCGGTTACGAAAGCCAGATTCTCAATCCACCAGACGCCACGAGTTGCACACTCTGTTAATTTAGGCCGTATGCCCGTCTAAGTCCTTGCTTCAGCCCACCGAATCCAACCGGTAGCTGTGCTTGCTAGCGTGGCACCCCAATCAAATACAACAAGTCAAATCATCAAACAACTAAACAAATAGACCGATTTCCTGTAATTAAATAACTAAATCTATAGTGTTTCGATATTTCGATATTTAGTAAACGTTTAAATACGTATTGCGGCCTGGAATATAACTATTCTAAGCCCTACGACCTATATAAAGGCTTATCCGATTAATAAAAATAATCGTACTATTAATAAGAAGGACTCTCTTATTAATAATACGATGCCAGAAAATCGACCTGTGTAGAATGG